TGTGCCCCGGGCCCCCGCCAAACAAAGGAAGGAAGCGAGCGAGAGCCCGGAGGCGGCCTCCGCAGCTCCAGCCAAGCCAGCGCCGCCGCCCAGCGCACGGGGCCTCGCACCTGCTCCCGGGGGAGCTGCCTGCACGGGCCGGGAAAGGGCGCGTGTCCCGGGCCGGAGTAGCCCGGCCGAACGGGGCGGTCACTGACCAGGATGCGCTTGAAGAGGTTGCTCTCCTTGGGCGGCAGCAGCACGGACGGCATGGTGCGCGAGAGCGGCCCGGAGAAGACGCGGCTCCTGCCAGGCGGCGGCTCTTTAACTCATTGGCCTGCGCCGCCCGGCCGGCTCCCCTCAGTCACCGCGAGCGAGCGAGCGAGCGCGGACCCTTGTGCGCAGCTGCCGGGGAGGCCTCGCTTCCCAACTGACGCTGCAAAATGGCCGCTGGGATCCCCCTGGCGCACGCGCAGAATCCGACTCGGTAACCAGCGGGGGAAGGGCCTCGCGCCTGCCGCCTCCTCCTCCTCCTCCCCTTTCCCCCTCCCCGCTGTCAGTCCCGGGGGGAGAAGAGGCATCCCAGGAGGTAGGAGGACGCAATGGGGGGGTCTCGCGCCCGCCCGGATTTGACGCCAATTCTCGGGATGTCATTACAAATCCCGGGGTTGGCTAGTGGGGCCGGTCGGCGTCGTTAGGGAACCTGACCCGGCCCTCTCTCCCGCCAGGCACTGCCCCCGGGCAAAGGGCCCACGAGGAGGTTGCAGGCTGGGGCTGGCAGTGCACCCTGGTGTTTGGCTGTGAAGAGTGGGGGGTGGCCCTTGGGGGTGTTTGACTTGTGCTTGTGGGGTAAGAGGACGGGAAATCCCTTTATTCCTAGGACAGCTCTTGCCCCTCTCTCTCCTGTTTGCCTCTAGTCCAAATGAGGAAAAGGCAAATGTAGTGTCCATCTTTTAAAAAACGGGAAGAAGGATTCTTTTGGTCAGCCTCTCCTCAGTCCTTGGAAAAATTATGGCACAGGCCCTCCTGGAACCCGTTTTGAAACACGTGGAGAAGAGGAAAGTGATCCAGACCATCAGGAATAGACGACATGGATTCACCAAGGACAAATCAGGCCTCACCAACCTAATTGCCTTCTATGATGAAATAATTGGCTGTGTGGATATGGGGAAAACGGTGGATATGGTGTACCTTAAAAACAGTCTCCAACAGTATTGTTGCCAGCATGGTAAAGAAGTATAGCTTGGATGACTGGATTATAAAGTGGCTAGAGCATCAAGCTCAATGAGTAGTGTTTAATGGTAGGGATGGTAGCATGTACCTGTTTACATGATTAATTAATAAGCCTGGTCTTATCTATTAATCCTAATGGTTACATGCAACCCTCCCCACCTTACTGCCTCTGTTAAAGCAGGGGCAGGTGTTCTTGAGGAGCTTCCCTCCACCTCCCACAGAGAGAAGTGCAGGATTGGGGCAGGCAGGAGCCACCCTCTCCCCTGTGTGTCTTATGGGGGGAGTGAGGGAGAAGGTGCCAGTGCTCATAAAGGACTGACTTTTAAGTCTTCTCTTCATGAGTGTCAGCTCCTGCTTGCTCCCTTTCATGTAAACGTGTAACCACTGAAAAATTCAGCAGTTACATGTTTACAAAAATACATGATTTGTATCATCTCTAATTAGTGGCTTAGTGTCTAGCTGGCAGCTGGATTCAAGTGGAGTGCTGTAGGGGGTCATTGTCTTTAATTCTATGATCACCAGAGCTTCTCAATTAAATATTTTGATCTGAGGAAGTGGGTCTGGCCCACGAAAGCTCATCATCTAATAAACCATCTTGTTAGTCTTTAAAGTGCTACATTGTCCTGCATTTTGCTTCAGCTACCCCAGACTAACACGGCTACATCTCTACCACTATTCTCAATTAAATGTTTTTAAAAATGTAATATGGGCATAAACATATTTTTTTCCTAATCTCATTCTTTGAAAGAGGTTCAAAAATTCAACCTGATGCAGATACCTGCAAGCAAAACTTGAGCCCAAATGGTTATTACGTTTGACAAAGTATATGCAATTAAAAACAGTCTTACAATGGAAAGTGTTAAAGCAACATTAACTAGATAGGCCATGCTACCAGTTTAATTTGCAATAATGTTTTGGACAATGTCTACATTGCTTCCCTCTTCCGCAAAAGCTTATGCAAAGGAAGCACAGATTAGCATATTGCTGAACTTCCTTTTCATAATTAATTAGGAGCCATTTTTGTGCAAGCTTTTTGCACAAAAAGGCGCTGACTACATAGCGCCTTTTTGCACAAAGCCCCCCTTTCACAAGAGCCATTCTTCCTCCATATATCAGGAAGAATGGCTCTTGCACAAAAATGGCTCCTAATTAATTATGAAAAGGAAGTTCAGCAATATGCTAATCTGTGCTTCATTTGTATAGGCTTTTGAGGAAGAGGGAAGCTGTGTAGACTTAGCCTTAGTATTTAATATTATTATTTATTAAAGATACTATATTTTGGTATGTTTTAAATATTTTGTAATAATAGATTTAGCAAAACATTTATTGCTAGTAAACAGTGCTTAACTGACCAACAATGAAATGATATTATGTGATAGTTTGGAGCCAGATCCGTGTTAAGTAAGGTACATAATAACATTTTCCAAAATTACTGTCTTAAGTTAGACAACGTGGATGAAATACTTTTTTTTATTGTAGCAACTTCTGTTGGGGAGATAGACAAACTTTCAATTTTATACAGAGCTCTTCTTCAGGTCTGGAAAAGTAAAACAGTGTCACTGCTTATGTTCTAGAATTTTCATTTCAGATGGCAAAATTCAGTATTATTCCGTTATTGTATGCCATGTCCCACATTTTTGTTGGTGAGAAAGACACAGCTTTTGAGCTTGTCTCAGTTCTGGGAAACTTAGTCTCACTGCAAACACCACTCACATTTTATTTTGGAGGTTAGGGGGCATGGACAAGGATGAGAGGGGAGCATAACCTCAAAGTTTGGAAAGCACTGCTATAAGATCTATATTTCTTTTGGTACATATTTAATTTCCATTTACAGTAATGGGACTCATGAATGTGAGAAAATTAATTACCTTTTATAATTAGCTAATACACATGTTATGGCATCTTTTCATATTACATAAAGTGTTTACTTTTATACTACTTTTCCCCTTGTCAATCAAGCTTAATAAATTAATCATGATTACTTTTAATCAAAGGCTTAATATACTCAGATTAATAACTCTTCTTGGGTGCTACTGAAACTGATATAATTTGTTTTGTTTACTATGAAATGTATTATTCTTTGAACATTCATGATTTTTAGTCACTTGTTCTTTAAGGACCTGACTCATGATGTTTGAGTAGTTGTGGCTAGCAATATTGAATTCCATACAAATAATGAAAGGATGAATTTTATTGAAAAGTGTAGCAGCTGCAGTCTTTTGATCACTGGCACAATAAAATACATTTCTAAAAATATTTTTGTGTTTATTATTAATTATTGTAACGTCCATATGAGTGTGTTTCCTTTCTGGCTTATGAAAAAAGGGTTAACAGGCTTGTCAAGTGTGGCATTCTGGGAACTGAAGTGCTTAGCAAGAACCCTGGGAGTGGTAGTCCTTTTATCTTTTTCAGTCTCTTCCTCATTGTAATGGCTGCATGTTATAAGGCTCCATCTGTTCTTTCTGGGCAAGTTTATTTTAAAATTCTGTGTTGTTTTTTGTTGGTAAAATACCATTCCAGGAAGGGCCTCTGGTTCCCAGGGTATCATCACCTTAAGCAGTTCTTACTTGGATGTAAACACAAGGAAGAGAGCTGTATATGGAAGATGGCATTTAGACTAAAGGACAAAGGGGTTAATTGGAAAAGAAGAGCAATCCTAAAATTAACTAACCGCTTTTGGGATTTCAGTCAGATTACTTTTCATTTTACAAATATTTTTTAGTTTTACAAATATATTCCTATAGTGATGGGGTGAAGAGGGAGGAAGCAGCTGGGTGGCTGA